TTTTAATATTTGTGTTAATTAAAAGGGCTATTTTTCTGCTGTCTTAAAAATCACAATGCAATATGAATACACAAAGAAATCTTAAATCTAAATTATAACAACTCGTAACCATTTTTAATACAAGTGGATACTATTGGTAATAATTTTGACGAGTTTTATTCAATACTTATGTAATTGGCCACTTTCACTTAAAACTTTTGCCTCAAACTTATAAAAGCCAGTTGTTATGTCACTTTGTATGCAGATGTTAACGGGTTTTATATGTTGTTTCGTAACCTGAAGCTCTCATATTGGTACAAGTTATTTTAAGATGCTCAATATAGCAATAATTAATGAAGGTATTTCAATACTCAAAACATAATTCTTCTTTCGTAATCGGGTAAAATTGAGAGGATTACGATAAGCGATATTGTTAACAATAGGAGCACCAGCAGACGCGCAGTTGTAACTCGTTGGATGACATATCTACAGAGAAACCAAACAAGTAAAGCGGGTATGCACTTCTAAGAATTATTTAACTTATTACACTTGCTGTGCCTTATAAAAGGCTTTATTCACGTTTGAATAATTCATTTTAAAGCTAGTGTACTCTACACAGTCTACTCTCTTATTGGTTTTTTTAATTAGTCTTCTAATATGTATATGAAAGCTAAATGAAATCATTTTGTCTGATCTCCAATAAAGGAAAGTATACTCTACTTTAAGGAAACTTTAAAAAACGTTGCGCGATGTTTAAAATTAGAAACAAAAAGAACTATAATTTAAATTTCAGAGAACGTTAATATATTAAGTTAATTCGTGATAAATAAGTCGTTTAATAACTAGGGTAATGACGGGCACTAAACGGTGTCTATTACACGGTTCCCGTTAAAATGACGGTACACAGGGAACACTGGTGGATAGCTGCTGGCGTCCTTCCAAACTAAATTTTATAGCTGACACTGTTTACTAAACTGGAGCGTCACAAAAATGCGGTTTGACTTATTTTAAATTATAACTTTTATTAGCTATTGTAGTTCAAGAAGTAATTCAAAGAAAGTATAGTATTTTTATGTCTATTATGTTTTAATAAACAAAATCGTATATGTAAGTTTTTTAAAGACAAAATTCACAGTTTTTTAAAGACAAAAGGACGACTTAAAATTTTTTCACTATCACCTCTTTACAATTGAAAATACGTATTCAAATCATTTTTATAATGACATTTGGAATAATTAAATATATGGCTATTCACAACATAGTAATAAAAATTTAAAATAGGTTGTACATTACACGATACAGTTCTTGTATTTTATGACACCCCAAATATAGTTTTGGGTCGGCCGGATGCGGAAACTACTGGCTGTGAAATTAACAAACGCTGTGATAAACATACAATAAAATGTTAATATTTAAATTTGCTTTGTCATATTCGTTAATCCAATTTTGTTGTAAGATGGAACTCTGGAATAACACCTAAGTTTTGTGATTCAGAAAAATTGTACGTGGCCTATTTAACTGTTATGTATCGAAATTTAAAAGTGATAATGATGTGCTACAGGATAAACTACTTTGTTTAGTAACGCGTTACGGAGCCTATCTTCCTAATTCAATATCGAATATGGGGCGTCAACAATCTTCATTCTTTCTTTTTGTAGCGCCTTTAACAAATAGACATAATTAGGTGTCACCTTTTACGAATTAGACAGTACATCTTGCATATAAATTTACAATAAGTAGTTTCAGAGATCGTTGGTACGGTACTGCATGTTCTATTTACTTACATCCGGCAGTCCATAAACTGCTAGTATGTGTATTCTTTTCCTTAGCGGGACATGATCTCATTAGGTTGCCGTCGGAAAGTGTGTCAGTAAGTGTACTGTGTAGGTTGGTAATGCACCGTTGTGAACTGCGTGCTTAATCTCATCCATTGAGTGCCAAGACTGAGTACTGATCTGGTATTAAGGACTGGTACTTTACTTGGATCTTAGTCATTTCATAATTCATTTGTTTTGTTTTCGTAAGCAGCTTTTGTTTACAGTTTGTGATATTCTTAGTAGGGATTACATTTGACATTGTCGGATTTCCTAATCGACAGTTTGACTGCGAATCAATTTTCTGGCTTTACTTTTTTATGTCAGAGGATTACAGACAGGCGAGGGGTCAAGTTTATGGTAAGTGAAGTACCCCAGCCATATAATATCTAAACAAGATGCGCAGTCGTCCTATTTTGGCTTTGAATATTCGGATACACACAGACTCAAACTGTAACGCGATTTAACTTTTTGGCTTCATTTGTGGTGCTTGGGACTCGGACGGAATTCGGAATTTCGATATTCCTACTACCCAAAACTGTACAAATTTACAACGGATCTGTTGTCTTGTCTTGTCATAAGCTAGTCTTATACCTTTCAAACCAAATTTGGCTTTATGAGATGAAGTTATAGATCCTCATGTATCACTTTGTTATACTGCACGCGAAGACGAAAAAACTTGAATGTTGACAAAATGGTGATTATAAAATCTGATTTGCATCAGTGAAGAATTCTTGATCTCTCGTTTGAGTGACGTTGTCGTGTACCCACTAATGTACAGATAAATAATCAGTTTCACTGGCAGTTAACAGTTATAACATGCAGTTATCTGCTACACTTCCCTAGCCCATAGCCGCACGCACTACTCGAACATACATTAGCACACTTCTTTGCAACGAAAGTTCATTGTATATTCCACTTTTTCTCTCTTATCCATTAATTTGATTAAGAGCACACGAATCGTTTTAATAACTTAATAGTGAGACACTTAAATAATTATTAGCGGTTTAATTTTAATATTGTATATGCGAAAGTGGGTTTGTTTGTTTCTACTTAGCGTTTCACAAAGGCTTCTATTATATTTGATTCTTGTAATGTGAGTTGAAAGGATTCAAAATAAGACTCAGTTTTTGATACCTGAAAATCAAAATCGTTTTGTTACACAATGCATCGCTCTTCGCTTTTATATTGCACTGATAATCTTTTGCTTTATATAAAGGTCAATTTCTTTTTCGTTATAACACAAGTTACTCTGGTTAGCTAGCTTAAACAGCTCAAATAAATTCTGAATATTCTAAAAGCAACATTCTCATGTAATCGAAGGGCACAGTTTGCGCAATATTCAATACTGAGCCAAGTTCACTCGCCCACTTCACGCCCTGTCTTCTCCCACGCAGTCTTATCGATGTTTAATCAAAAATTGGTAATCAAAAACGCCTATGAAGCTCAGCCTATAACAAGCGAGAAGGCATAGATTCGATATCCGCGGAAGAAAAGAAATGCGGAAACTGTTTCACTTGAAGACAATTTAAAAAAGCATACATGAGTGTTCCTACCTCATGCCTACAGTAGAGAAAACAGATTTTTGTTGTAAACAAAAACCTTAAGTTACTGCGAATTTGTGACTACGAAAAAAGTATTAAAATTACTCGTATGTACCTGTAATAAAAGGTCGTCGAGTCTAGGTAAAAAGTGAAACAAATGCAGCTGTTGAAATGTCAAAGCGCAAACGAACTATAAATAAACGGGTCTATTGCAGTGTCCAGTTTGTTTTGTAATAGAACGAATGTGTTAGTTTATATCGACGACCTATCGAAAGTATAATATAACAAAAATCTTTGTTTTTAATAATACAACTTAACGTGCTTTAACGTAAATGGTTATAATTAAACGACAAATAAATTTATTTCCGTTGACATGCGTTTATGCGAAAGCTTGTACTATTAAAGAAATTCAAATATGGCACATTTGTTTGCTCGTTCCCGTCTAGTTGGCTTAAAATAATTACACAAGTGTTACAGACAACCCTCATGCGGTCGTTGAGCCCATGTTCCCTTCACATTCACCTGCCATTTTATTTATTCGAGAGTAAAAGTGTTATAGAACGCTTACAAATACCGCAATCTCTATTGGGGCTGTTATATTTGATTTTTCTGTACGTTTTCATAGATATTACATATTTATATTATCTATGGTCAAATACAAATTATTCTATAGAAGTCTTGTTTTACATTTGAATGTATCGCTCGTAATGCTATTCCAATATGCAGTATGTAAATAGTAAATATATTCTTCAATACGTAGATGATAGTCTATCTAGCGATGTTAAGCATAAACCATGCGCGTACGCATCGCGCTTCGGTGTTTCGTACGCGATAGCTCGCGCTCCAGTGCGTCTGCGACTTTGAATGAAGACAGTCACGCGGTATTTCATTCTCTAAATTCTTTCGGTTCATTTAAATGTGTGCATTCTATGAATATAGGCGTTATTGTTGAGTGTTTTCTGGTGTGAGTGCAGTCTTATCCTTGCAGTTTATCGCATTAGTTTTCGGTTTATTTTGGTGTCAAGTTATTTCTGTGCGCGGTGTGAATAAACATGTGTAGTTAAATGATGTGTTTATATCCTCAGTAAGCATGGCACACATTGGAGTTGTAGCAGACTGTTCCTTCATTCGAATTATTTCGTCTGTATCTTGAAACTTGAAGATTTTGTAGTTGTTATGACTTATAATATCTTCAATTTGATAGCTGTTTTTTTAGTTACACAAGGAAACAATCGATCATTATGCTTAGGGTGGCAAGCACTTTTGTTTATTGTATCGACTCAAGCGTCATCCAGTATTAGGTCAAGTATTTTGGAAGAGACATTAATCATTATTCGAGCAAACGGTTGCTCCTCTATACCAATCCGACGCAAATCGACCGCTTCCTTTGAAGATGGTTATTCGAGTCACTAGGTATTAACATGATTTATATACCTGCCTTGTCATTTAACATGTTAACTATTGTCGCAGACGGATGCATTTATTTGCCTCGTATGCCTATTCAGCTTTTTAACAAAAGCTTCTATCGTCCATCTTGCTATCTATGTTTTAAGGGTTTTTATCTAGACCCAATACGATAATGATAGCTAAAGCAAACTTCTTCAAATCTCTTTCGTGTTTCACTCTAGCGATTGACACACTTAACATCTATCTAATCAATATCTTATCCAGATTTCTGACAAGGTCGTCCGATAGAGTACAGCCTTGAGAACAATAGAAAAACGTGAATGATTTTCTTTGCGTGCGAAATAATTTTTCGAGTAATTCGTTGGCACGCCATTGTTAGTGTTGTTGCTTTTAACTCCCACTGGACTGGCTTATCTCGTGAAAATATCGGTCTCGTGCCGGAAAGGGTTGGCCGTGCGCCAGACTTAGCGTCTGACGCACCTAATCCTGATATTGCTTCAGTGTCATTTACTAGGCACATTTTGATATATAGTTCCGTTTCTGTTTCACATTTCTTGGGTATTAAATAATTCAAATATATTACGACTATTCACGAAACAAGCGGTCCCGTCACCCACATTATGATACATTGAAACGTGAAATCGTGATTAGGATTAACAAAATACGAATACTTATTTTGTCCCCCTTAGACGGTAAGGCAATGCAAAGCAATTTTTTTTTGTATTCAAAGTCAGATTTCTCTAGATTCTTCTTTAGTTTCTTGAGAGAATATATAAAATATTGAAATTTTAAACAGCTATATTTCTATATACAGTCTACGTCCTTGAAAATACGTTGCCTCATTATAAATTCCAGTAAATAGTTTCCGACTTAATCACCGTAAATATCTTCTACTTTTTGTTGTTTAGTTTTCTTTACGAAGAGCGAAGTTCGGTATTTTGAGTTCCACCTACTTTTCCACGTACATGTCACACTTTGTAAAATGTAAAAGGTTTTCAGTTCCGCGGTTTCTCCTAAAGAGGTTCTTACAACTCGTGTCTTACGTGAAGAAGCTCCCACAGTGAACTTTCCACGGAACAATAGGTTGTTGAAGATTTCACTTTTTTGTCATCAAATTCGCTTAGTTATTCGATGTAATTGTACAAACGCTCGGCGTGTGTCTTCCTCTTCCTAATTTTTTATCGCTGCTCATACAATATTATGTGCACCGATCACGTTTTATGTTTTTACGAAAGTGTTATTTTCATGGAGGATAAAGCGAGTACAATAATTAAATTCACTGTATGACGTAACGTATGACGAATAGGTACAAACAAAGTTAACATTTTTTATTGTCTAAAGTACATCGCCAATGTTGTTTCCTCACATTTAATAGACACATACAGTGTCTGTTACTTATACCTAAACTGATTTATAATAGTTTTGAGACGCTGGTACACAGTTCAAAACCCCCTTCCTTTTGTTCAGATGCCATTCATTAGTCCAGTGTCTCTGGTAGGCATTCTTTAGGAGATCATTGAACCCACTGATGTACTTTTGTCGCCTCCGCAATAATAAAACGTTCGGTGGGTTGCTTCTAAGATTCTACGCAACATGCGAGATCTTATCTAACTTTTATACAATTTTATAAGGGGTTGGGGTACTGAGGCACGGGTGTAAGTGAGGCATAGCCTGGTAAAAGGTGGAAATGCCTTAACTCTAAAACTTTTGAGTTGACTTTGTATATTCGGAAATCCACAGACTGAAACCTAAGCGCGGGTTTCAGCGCTACGCCACGGGTTTACTTGTCTAGATTTTCCATACGCTGGGTTAAACTGAGTCTCAAAAATAATAGTTATACAAACTTGGCCCCGCTGAAATGTTAGCCAATCATTTCTAACGCTAAACTAATAGACCCAACTTAGAAAATATAATACGCCATCTCAGAATTGTATGTCTATCGCATATGGTAAAACGTAAAGACCCCCTTTTTAAAGTGTTGACTCGTGCAACAGCAAATATTACTTAATTTTTAATGAAACTCTATTTACTTTCCGAACAGAAATTCAATGTACAAGTCAGGTGATAAGATAAGAAATAACTAGCTAACGTTGAAGTACTAAACACGGTGTATAAGTGATAATAAAGAGAATATTTGAAATTCGAATGATGGAAGTAAACCAGTGTAAGAATTTGACTTAGAGTAAAGTATACGGGATTAGTGAAAAACGAACAGTTTAAAGTGTTGTGTACTAGGACATGAGTAAGGATGAGTACGGAGCGACGTCTCTCACGGAGTTTCCACTCCTGCCTGAAAGGCTCCTCGACGGAGGAGGCAGCGGACGAGGAAGAGAGCTGTTACCATTCACTTGGTGGACGGCACACCCTCAGTAGATACCCACAGGTCTACGTCGAGGATTTGTCCAATGTTACCCTAGCCGACTTCGAGTCTTCACAAGATGATTTAGACGGTTCGTATTTTAGTTATCATTTGTGTTTTGAGAATATGATTTGATTTATTATTATTTTGTTTATTTATAAATATTTCGTGGTTACTTAGACAGAGGGCGACACTCAGTATTTTGATGAGTCCAAAATAGTGGTACCTTTCCACGCAAGTAAACAGTTTAGTGTTTAAAACGCGATATAAATTAGTTATACTTATTTATATATTATTTTAACTACGGCTCGACGTTTCAAATAAGTTTAACTGATATATATCGCGTTTTAAACCGTCAAAGTATTTTATTTAAATGTGTATAGTGTACTAGTAATCTACTAGTAGTAGTGTTTTATTTTAATGTATAAAAATGTACTACTCGCGTAAACTACAGACGGTATAATGCAAGAAGCATTATTAATTTAAATGTTTGCTAAGTTAAATACATAGTATTGTACTATACAGATGTGTATAGTACACCACCAATAATTTGCATATGCAGAAGCCGATTACCTTGCTAAACAAAAAACATATATTAAAGTAATTAAAATTGTTCTTATAAAAATGAGGGTTGTATTATCAAGAAATTGTTTATTTATGTAGGTAACTCGATATACCTCCTTATGAACGCCAATACAGTTTAAATTATTTTTTCTTTATTATTAACTTAACAGCCGCTTAAAATTACTACAAATGTTTAACTATTTTGACATTTTAAAGTAAAAATATGTTCAACATTTGTATAAATTATCACCACTGCGTCGTGAGAATTTTACCAGTATGCGGGGTTATATCGATCAAACTGTGTAAAAGAGAAACTTGGCGCATTCATATCGTACCTATATAATTTACAATGTTTACTAGAATGTGAAGACTTACTCGTAGATATTAAGACGCATACATAAAAACGTTTAAGTTCAACAGACCGTCATGAAAACATCAACTAATTGTAAAATACGTCGAGACATGTACAGATAAAATATATACGTAATTCCCAACGGGCCGTTAATTAAATTGTTATAACAATCTGTTAGTGAAAGTGAACACGCATATAAATAATTCGCACATTTTGTTTGTGTTGTGATAGTCAACCACTTCTAGCTTTTTTTGTTTTTATAACATCTGTGTAGTTTTTCACTAAAACTCGGTCTAAATCATAATGGTTAGGTAATTAGAATATTTTACTCTGACCCTTGTAACTATAATGCACATGTCTATACGTTAAACGTATGTCGTAAATCTCTTTCTTAGTTTAAAATGTATACTAATATATAAATTTGTTTGTTTGTTTGAACGCACTAATCTCAGGAACTACTGGTTCGATCATGATTTAAGGAAAGCTATATGCTATAAAACATCGCGTTGTGACTAATAGGACCGATGAAACAGCGGGCAATTTTGATAAAACGGGGAAAATTATTAAACTGTAGGCTTCGGATGCGATGTGGGATATATACGAAAAAGTTATTCCTCTTTAAGTGATCTAAAAAAATGTCCACGACAATGTCTATCTTTTGAGATTAGCTTGCAAAAACGACGGGACGCGGTCGACGTGGATAACGGCTACAATTTATAAAGATGAGAAGGAAGTTTCCAAAAACAAATTCGTATGCCCAAAATTACTATTCTAAGCCGACAAAATCGCTACAAAATTTGTGTTGATTGATAAAATATTTTCGCTATTTTAATGAAATGACAAGATCAAAGACGCAATATCAACGTTTTTGTTAATTATTATCAGGTATTTCAATCAACAACATGTAATATGGGCTGTAATCACATTCCAAGTTAACGTTCCATCAACGCAGGGATAACATTCCAGAAATGAGGATAGTGTTGCTAGACGTAACATTACGCAACGTTATATGTAAATTCCACAGATACTCACTTAAGTGTCCATGAAATAAAGTTATATTATCTGTGTGAAAATATAGCATACATTACTAAGTGAAATATGTAGTGTTTTAATTCCATATTCAAACTTAAACATCACCGGATGTGAATTAAGCGAAATTGATCCTACGCCTTATTTTTTCTAACGCGAAGCTATGAAAGACGCTATTAATTCGTGTAATTTCAAGGACCAGTCCATAAATAAAAGACGTCTGTATTATCACAGAAGACATAATCATAGATGAATGGATCGCTGTACTATGCATATTAATGTTATTCAGTTCCTGTCTTCCTGTGTTCGAGTTTTGAACCTGACGTTTGTAACATTTGCCGCGTTTTTTAAATATTCAACATGGCGGCTAAAGGCGTCGTCGCTTTGAAAATTGCGTTTTTAATGTCATACTTTCTTTTTATTATTTATATTTATTATCTATATTTTTCTTTTAAAGATGAAAGAAGAGACGTTATTATTTTCTGCTAGGTATTACGTTTACATAAAACAGTTTTATCGTTTAGAAACGCGAAATGTATTAGTTAACTTATTTACTGCAAAGCATCTGGAACGTCGAACTGCAGTTGAAATATGTGGTAATTATGTTAACTTTTCGCGTCTTAAAGCGTTAAAAATGTTGTATTTTACACTTACTACTCGCGTAAACTACGGAAAGTAGGTAGGAAGTTAGGTGTTACGTTTAAAACAATATTTGAAACTTAACCGGTTTTATTATCTGTAACACCACAAACCTAATTACAGTTTATTTAAGTTAAAAGGTCTGCACACGTGCTCTTCTAAAACTGGCAACCCCAGCACGTATTGGGCTCCAAATGGTTGATTGTTTACATCTATATCACGTTTGATGTTAGCAAGTTAGTTATTCGGCCCGTGTCTGCGCACCTGCGTGCATTCAGCACTCACATCCGCTTCCCGTGTCTCTTTACAAAGCTTTTCGGTTAGGTCAAAGCTTCCGCCTTAAAAGCTAATACAATTATGATATCATTAATATTAGACGACGGAGATTTCATGATGGTCCAGCTGGTGTTCTGGGTTGGAGATGACTAATTCATTCCCGTGTTAAAAAGACCAAGGCGTATATGGAGTTATAAATATTTGCAAAAAGACCTGTACATATTTGGATACTCAATAGAAGTGATATCTTAAAGTATTGTCTAAAACTGAAGTTTACGTGAATAAGTATCGATTTTAGGTTAAAAAATATATCCTAAATCTCTTGCGCAAATAGTAGGTAGACGTAATCTTAAACCTAATGTAATTTATCAGTCACATTTCTTATATTTCATTACATAATATATAAATAGATGAAACCTTAAATTTATTAAACACATTGCGTTTGGAACCTTGAAAGCCCTCATATCCAAAAATATCAAAACGTGCTTCGTTTGTAGTATGACGACGCTGATATAGCCTATGGGCGTGCTGATATTAATCTGTGGTATGCGGTATAAAGCTGGTTTGTCTAGTACTACGCACGGAAGCTGAGTACCTCTTTGTGCTATTATATTCTTCCCCTTTCTGGCATGAATGAAATTTCGAGAGGGCCGGAATTTAGACCACGTGGTAATTTGAAAACAAATATTGGTTGGTGGTCGGGTTAACTCACTTTTTCTGCGTCAGAGGTTATATATTGTATAGATTCTTTTGCCTTGTTTAGTGTTAGATACTACTAACAATAGACTAACTATTTAGTTAAATGACCTAATTCATATTTGTAATTCTGATCCTAGATTTCCAGATGTTGTAATTATTTATATGTGATATACTGATATCCCGTTTCCTGGAATTCAAACAAAAGTCCTGTCTCATGATTTTTATTGAGACACGGAAGCGATTAGTTATCCATAAATGGTTTACAAGTAATTTTCAATTCTACGCTGTAGCAAACGTAATAATTTGTCATTTATTTTTATTCTATAACATTTTTGCTTAATTCCCCTTAAATATGATTGTTTATAGCAAATGTAGGATAGACGGTATTTTATAAAACAGACGTACGTCATAAAATATATTTTCTTACTAGCTTTATGTCATTCTATCAGCTGCAATCAATTCGTTTCTAAGAAACGATTCCTTTCGTTCAAGGAAATCAGATAGTCACTGTTGAATTAAAGTGCGCTAATTAATAGTAAATGGGTACTCTGACAATGCGATGAGAATCATAAGCCTCTGGTCTCCTATAAACGTCTTCATTCTTGGAAAGCTATAAAACATCGCGCTCTGACTAATAGGAGCAGATAAGCAGCGGGAAATTTGGAAAAAAAGGAGAAAATTATTCATGTTTGCGAGTTTCCGATACATACGCCGCGAAAATGAAAGAACTATTCCTGTTTAAATGATCTAAAAAATGGCCGTGAGACTATTCTTTCTGGTCTAGACTAGTCTATTTTTTAAGATTAACTTGCAATAAGGACGCGAGTGACGTAGTGAGTTACGGCTTAAATTTATAAAGATAAAGAGGAAAGGAGGAAATAAAGAGGTTTGCAAAAACATATTTGGATGCCCAAAATTACTATTCTACGCAGACGAAGTCGCTGACAAAGCTAGTTAAACATATACAGTATATCAACATATGACACATTTCGTACCGTACAACACTTCTAGGAGACCACAGTCTAACAGACGTGACTTCATAAACGCGAATTGCAGCATGAATCGATAAAAATTGAATTATCTATATCGTTGTTATGTGCAATATTTTGGCTTCTTATTGTAGATAAGTATTAAACACAAGCAGATAATGACGTAGACAGGTGCATTTTTATCGGATTTCTTAAGCTCAATGTATAAGTATTTTCATTAATTTAAACAATTTGAATGTTCAGTACAGCGGCATCCATTCGACGAAAAAATTTAAAGTGTACTTTAGTCGGTTAAACAGCTTACAACAACTGTAGTGTATTTCCAGTTCGCAGAAATAAAGAAAAGCGCGCTAAAATATTTATAGGATTATACAAAAAAAGGTTTTATTTAGACTCCGTGACAGATAATATATTTTTAAAACGAAATCTATAAATGAAGAATATATGCTGCTCTAAGGAATACAACATCCCAGCTGGCCTTCAAAATATTGAATATCGTAAATAATATTTGCGGTTTAAATTGTCCCGTACATTGCTCCCTGTTCTTCTATTTATATCGTTTACTCTGACATGATGTAGCCACATTGCCAATAATTTTGATCCTACGTTAACATATTAACGTGACAGCTTTATTTTACCTTTGTATACATGAAAATAGTAAAATAAAATAAAATATTGTTTCTACGAAAGTTATATGTATGTATGTAATATTATTTGTATAGATATATGGTATAAGTGCTATATGTTTTAAATAAATGTTTAAGACAGGAAGTAATAGAAAATTATATATTTATTATAAGCTTTTTTTGCAGGCAATGATGAAGGGGTTAAAAATAAAAATATTAAGTTGGTATTTTAATTTAAATACTTTCAGTTGTCAATATAATTTTCAAGCACATACATGTGTTTTTCATTGAATAATACCATCAGTGTTATAACAAAAATGAAACAAATAAGAAACTTCACTCGCCCACGGTCTGCTAACGCCATCTATGGTAGCTAATAGTTTTTTCTCATATTCACTACTCGCCGCCAGATGACACTACAAAACTAAATTGTAAGATACAATTTACATAGTACATAACATGCAGACTTGCTATTATATTTTGTTTATTTCCTTAAATGTTCTTCGCACTATTTGGTATATGTAAAATATGATTATACTATGATATTATAAAAATTTCATCCTAGGAGCCTTTATATATTTAAGAAGTTATGTTTGTTATAGTAAAAAAACCATAGAAATCTACGATTCACAGTGATATTATAATCTATAATAATGTATACTAAGAAATTCCCGGTGTTACTCTCTTAAAAAATGTTAAGGGAAAGAATTATTTATATAAATACCTACTTGTAGCATTGCGAATATTCTTCGATTGCAAAAACAATCTGTGCACTGTAGGAAGGTGAAATGTGTTTAAAATCTGAGTCAATGTTATTATTAAGTAGAACTATAATGTAAACATCGATATCGGTGGAACCAGTTTTGTAGGTTCATGACCGACGCCTTTGTATAAAGTACCAAGTAAATTATGTACTTACTTCGAAACCTTTACCTGTGTGTATCAATTACATTAAAAACAATTTGTTTTATTTATTAACCAACATACGGTAGTATGAATGAACAAAAAGAAAACAGAAGTGTATTAGGTATTTTCTCATTTATATTTTTTTTAACAAACATTTAAATTGCAAAAAAAGATTTCATTAAAGTGCAGTTTTTTTTTGTACGAGTACTTTATATTTTCTTATTTGAATCAGCATAATAATGGCATAAAGGCCTTCTTCATTTCATGTTAAAGAATTGAAAGATACAAATATATGACGCGAATTAAACTTATAAATAGTTCTGACTTGTTATACTCACTTTTAAGTTGTATATCTTACCTAAAAGTATAAAGTTCTAAAATAAAATATTATCTATCAAAGGGGCACTCTCCGAAGATTTCCGAGTTCGACCGATCTTAGCCGATCAGATATAAACATGGCGTCGGAACACGCTTAGCCGCTTGCAGCTTGTCAACAAAGTAAGTCAGGCCAGCGGAGCGGGTGCGCGCGTTAATTTTAAAATATTAAATAATATTACGCGAACATTATATAATTAACGTTAACGTTATTTTAAAGTGTCTCAAGTGAAAGTGATTGTTATGTTAATGCAGTTAAATACGTTTAGTGTGCAGTGCGTTTAGCAATTTGGATTGTGCCCGTAATACATACGTTGGAATATTTAGTAACGATATCATAATTATAATTTTAATCTATAAAGTTCCACCAAAAACTTCAGATATTTATTTTGATTGAAAGCATTTTTGCACATGATGGTACTATAATATAAATAAAATCGATTATAAAGAGCAAACCGCACGGAGCAAAACGCTGTGCATGTCGGTTCAAGTCTTGCCCGTCGTAATTTTTGTTAATTTAGAATCGATTTTTAATTTATATTTAATTTGCTTATTTAACATAATATTATCTTGACAAATAACCGAAATAAGCTGCAAAATTTCAATATTTTAATGATTATCTTACACTCTACATTGTGCTGTAATAATAAGTTAAAAATCTCCACGAATTTATAAAAATTAAATATGAAAAATGTATTATGTTTTGAATTGCAAAATGTAAAAATAAAGCAGCGGTAACATTTAAGTTCGTTTGATCTTAAACTTTATTTAAGTTTGTTTAATGAATTAACTAACATAATTATTTTTTCTTCTTCAATATCTGACTTAAATTACAGAATAGTTAAGATTAACAAAGGAAGATTCCTAAAAGTTTTTGCTAATGTTTCTAGAGAATTGCTGCGCTTAGCCTCTAGAATTCTTTATAGTCTTTTGTTGTAGCTAAATACCTAGTACTAAGCTAAAAAAATGGTACTGCACTATCGTTAGAATTATGTAGGCGCGGGTTGTAAACGTATTTATTTATGCACCCACGCTATCCGTGACTTTCTAAATATTGTGTATTCGAAAGAGTAAGTCCACATGAGTCATTGAATCGCCTCCCATGAGGTCTGGGTTACATTCCAACCTCGCTCACCGACTACGGCCAAACCGGACCCTAGACTTAGGGTTGCCAGCTCTGCTAATAGCTCAACCAGCGTAGTCAAACCCTACGTATAAAAAGGTACCAAGAGCGAAGTAAATCAAGATAGATATAATTATGTGACAAACCAATCCTGAAACAACTTCTAAATAATTTATTAGAAAAGGTTGTCACTATACACAAAATTACGTGAATTTTGAAACATATAACACCTCCGCGTGTTGGGAATCAAATAAAAAAAATTGTCACCGTTGCTATGGCAACCCTATCCCGCGCGACCGACGCGCTTAAAACCTTCCTTTTTTACGTGACAATTGAAAGAGTATACTGATTTAAAATAAAGTTTGCTACAAATCTTAAACTCCACGATTATTAAAATAATATTTCCATCCATAACCTTTATCACGACATAAATAA